AAAAAGTTTGGAATATTTACATGGTTGCATCAATTTAAAATCAAAGCTCACATTCGAGATACACTTGCGACAGGTAGATATTTTACGTTTCTAATATCGAGCACTGACGAAAATAATAAAATTCTGAAGCTGGATATCGCAAATTTGTATCGTTAATCAATGTTACAAATATGTAGTGTATAATGTATAAAGATTTTTAGAATTTTGTCATAACCAATGTTAAAATTTCAGATGAAAGTACGACACATCCTGTATAAGTTAAAAATTCAAAATTATTACCAAACATTAAACCACCAAACCTTAAAAATAGCAAACATTAACAAACGTTACCAAACATTAAACATATATTACCAACAAAGTAGTAGATCAAAATACAATGTGCTTCTCGTGTTTCTTTGTTGTAACTCCTAATGAAAATCATACAAGTGGTCTAAACAATGAAGAATACATTAGAATACTTCTCCAATTAAATCCAAATAAATCAATATTGAAAATTGCTTTAATTATTGTAACGCGAGCAATACGGTCTGTTCTATTAATAGACTAAACAGAACTTTTAACGTTTTAAAAATAGGCAATGCATGAGTCAAGTAGGTACACTTCGTGACATTCAGATCTATGTTCCCACTGTACTTGCTTGGATTTTCACTTTTTCCACGCGTGCTCCAGGAAGCATTTCTTTTACAATAATAGAACAACGCATGTGCAAAAAGTCTTCAAAATACTTCTTGTTACGTTGAGAGTGAGTAATGATATCGCGTCTACTCCTACCAAAAAGACATTACCGTCCATTTTCATCGCGCCGAGAATTCAGCTAATTCAAGGTTCATGTTTTTTCTATGAACGTGCAATTACAACATGCATCACTGAAACTGAACACACTTTAGAGTAACAATCCTCTCGACTAATCTATGCAGCGTTACTCACACAACGTGAGAAATCAAGATACGTAAATCGATGTTGTGATTTATTCTCCAACCTTGAGTCTCCCTCACCTACACGTATCTTTTTATCATCCGAGGCAAAAGAATACCGAATCGCGGTACATGTCTTGCACAAGCGAAGGCAATAAAGAGATCGAAGTAATCTCGGTCTTACATTCAGTTTTCCATCAGTTTCACCAATTGTTGCAGGACTTCGGCTTAAATTGAGTTTAAATTAGACTGAAGTCAAAATTGTTGACTTCTCAAATTGTTGAGAACAATTCTGACAATTCGACAATATCGACTCTAAATCAACGATTTCCATTTTTATTTATATTTACTTGAGTTCTATTTACCCACGTTCTAAAATTTCAGCGAAACTTCCGATCCTCTGCAACCGCCCGCGCATATTTTCCGTTGCGAATGTCGCGCCTTTGCTCCGTTTCTCCGGCGCCTATCGATGACACGGCTGGAGTAGCTGTTCGCGTATTAATCGCACCTCGCTCACGAAACGACGAGGCCACGCCGCTCTTTGTTTGTCATCCGCTCGTAACTCGCTGCGAGTTTAACATACGCGACCAAGAAAGGTCGACCGAGACGAGATGAGAGGCGGGGGAGGAGCGTTGGAGCGAGAAAGAAACGGTGCCAGGACGTGTAAGACTCCGACTGCAACTGCGTGTGGAAAGTTTTCAGTGCACGGTGGGCAAATCGCAAGACCGACGTGTGGGTGGTTTATTAACCTGTTTAGATGCATATCTAATCGGTTTTTATCTCGGACCAATGTTAAACGCTTCTGCACGTCGATGGAGCGGTTTTCCGACTGTCACGTTCGTTTCCTCGCGAACGGAAATGGCATACGTACGTACGATTCCTCGGCAACGATTGGTTCGCTGTTTCTTTCGTGCCCTTTGGAGTATCGTTTTGCTTTGGCCGTGATACAACAATTGCGCAACGCATTTTTCCCGCAACGACCGCGCGGATAGGAAAATGTGAAACACGGCGAAGGCGCGGGAGTTTTTACGATCATAACTCGAGTCCGCGATGAACGTTTTCTGTTGAATCGCCGATGCATGTGGTTGACGTAGGTTGCGAGTGATGGGAAACGTTTCAACCGGTGGATGTATCTTCTTTGGTGATTTTTTTTATAAGATAATGGTTGGGTTATTTAAGAAAATTTTTTGGGAATTATTATTCTTTCGAGTCGTCTAGATATTTGGTCTAGGGATTAATTCTGTGTGTTTTCAAGGTAAACTTACTATTTACACTTGTGTTATGTAGAGGAAGAATTTGTTTGTATGTAGCGAGTAATGTTTTCAGTTACAGAAAGTTACGCTATCCCTGAGTAATATTGGATATATTTGATTTTTATAGAAATAAGTTTGGAATTACAAATCTCAATATTTGTAAAATATGTGCAACAGGATACTTAGGGAAAACAAAATACAAACATCTACCGATTGAGATATAGAAAATATATATCATGATTTCGACTAGTTCAATCTTGAAACCTGAATTATTTCTCGGGTATAAGGAATATTTTTGTGCCAAAAGTATTTGTGGACCAATAAATTCAATTTACTAATTATACCTAATGAAAATATATAACATTTTGGTATATCTTGATTTATTTACTACGATCAGTACATGATGAATAATTTACCATCAAATTTACCGTCAAATAACTTGATATCGACTTGTTATTATAACTCTCGATGCTTCGATACCACTTGAATTACTACATCCATTTCCTTTTGACCTTCTGGCATCTCTACTTCCTCGCAACCTCCACTTTCGCACCTCCACTCTTTCAACTTTCATTTCCTGTATTCGCAACTCCGTTTCCTCCTTTCCCGCATCTGCCTCCACTCCTACCTACTTCCGTTTCCAAAGGGCCGAATAGCGTACACAGAAATTATCATTTAAGGCGCGTTACCTCGGCCCTCGTGAACTTCCTTCGGCTTGCACATATCTCGTCGAGCCATGTCGTCGATCTTCATCCGGCGGGAGTGACACACGAGTCACGCCCAGCATTCACGACACCTACGTCCTTCCCTCGCGCACGACCCTGAAGGAACTAGGAGTCGGTCTACGAAGCGATAGACACCTACGTCTCTGACGCCGGAACAAAGTTCACGACCAGATACTATGCATGTCTACGCGAGAGAGTTACACTTAGACTTAGAAAACTTGATGCAGATAGTCTTTGCACAAGAATAATGTGTCTTGCTGCGGTATATCTTGTGGTATGGTCCGTGATGCTTGAATATTCTGTATTTTGCAGTATTGCGTACTATGGTGCTAAAAAATTCTGTATTTAGCAGAAATATGCTGTATTTTGATAGAGTATTATGGATTATACTATATTTTGCTGTATCATACTGTGTTGCAGTATGAAAAATAATTTTATATCTTGCTGGACTATGCTATTATACCTTGTACTACGGTCTGTGACGCTTGATTATTCTGTATTTTCCAGTATTTCTCCGTTTTGCTGGAAAATTCTATACTTACATGTATTATGCTCTATGTTGCTGGAATAAGTCGTGTTCTACTGTATTTTGCTGTATTATACTGTGTACCAGTATGAAAAACGATGTTGTATCTTGCTGGACTATGCTATTATACCTTGTACTATGGTCTGTGATACTTGAATATTTCGTAGGTATTTAGCAGGTTTCATGGAATTATTTAGAGGAGTTATTTCTTCTCTTGCACTAGCAATGCTTGATTGAATATCGTTGTCACTATTCTAAAGTCACATAAATATTCTAATTTGTTCAGTCTGTTTCAACACATCAATTGAACCATAAATACTTAAAGGCAGAAAATATTCTTCATGCATTAATTCCAGTTTAAAGTGGTTAGAAAATTTCTTCTTTTATAAAAAAAAAAAAAAAAAAAACAGTTGATAAATGCCCCTATCATTAATCAAAGTGACAAATATTCTAATTTTCTAATTCACTTACATTCTTTCTGCCACAAATAATTTCAGCCACAGGAATATTCTTTTCGCCTAAAAATACTTGAAGTTCTCAGTGTCTTCTCCTGAATTTTTTCAACCAACATAGATACACGAATATTCTCAATCATCCCCTTTACTACTTTTTAAATTTCGTCTTAGAGGTCAAGGGTTGTAAGAGACCATAGACACCTACAGTCACCGAGGAGGGGAACAAAGTTCACGAGCAAACCGAAGACCGTGTCCGCGGAAGAGACGTCGACGAATACGAAGAAGTCGAAGAGGTGGCCGAGGTGGAATGACCCCGCGGATCGCATTGTAGGCGCGTATGGGGCCCCCTCGCGGAGGGTAACATATGCGTGATGGCCTGCGAAAGCTACGTCACGCAGGAACGCACCTTACCTCTTCTTTCCCGCTTCGTTTCTCTTCTACTTCTTCTTCTTGCGCTTTTCGTCCCCCCGTGCCCCTTTTCGCGCAGCCTGCTCCGTACGACGGGGCTACGGAGGTCACCGCACGCTGTCTGCCACCGGCGGAACAAACGGTGAACAGTGCGTGCCTCTCTTCCTGGAGCCTTTTGTACCCGCTCCGTGCCCGCGACGATCGGGAGCAGGTGGAAGAAGCGTTTTTCGGCCATTCCTACGCTCCTTCGCGAAGGGAGAAATATTAGGTTGCCCCGACAATTTCTTTCGCGACTTATAGTCCAGGACGATTATAGTGACGATTTTACTTACGTCATTTTTCAATGAAACTAATCTTTTTTTTTATGAATGTATAATTACTAACGATCACGAAAACCGTAGTCTGGTAGTTAGAATAGAGTCGTTAGAATAGCAACGATATTCTACTTTATTCTACGTACTCTCCGCATATTATCTCATGTGATTATTATTTATTTTTTTATTTACTTCAATACAGGATTTAAAAGTGCGCATTGCATGATATTTTGTTAGCAAATCACAACGATTTTAGAAAAATGGCATTATGCTGCTTTCAGAGAGATCAAGGAGGGTAATATCTTACCTATTACTGAAACGAAAGAAACTCTTAGAACAACCTAACACTTTTGTCGAAGGACAAAATATCTTATTTAACATCGCTGTCTTGAATGCTTTATTTAAAGGATTTAAGAAATTTGAAAGGCTGATCAAATGGAAAGAAGAAAATATGTCTAGCATAAATTATTACTTCTTGATCAAGTCGCAAAATGCTGGTAAACGTTTCAATCATAATCACCTTTGGCATTAACGTTCTCGCATTGTTGAAACTCGTTCCTTGTAAATAATTTTTTACCTAGAAACATGCATTATTAATTTTTATAGTAAAAACACGAATATGGAGAATACGAAGTGGTATAAACAGTGGTATAAATGTAGGATAAGTTTACTTATCACTTACTCTTCATATTTTATTAATTCATCTTTTGTATGACCATTGTACTTAATTCTGTAGTAGACAAACTGTTTGTACCATCAATTTCAGTTTCATGGAATTTTTATGGTTTTGGAATCTTCAAAAAATAGTGTCAAACGCCAACTGAAAATACCAAAACAAATATCTTGAGTTCCTATTGTGTTGTTACGTGCCGATATTTTCGTTTTCAAAAACAGACAATTATTATAAAATAACGAAATCAAGAAAAATAAACATGAAAACATCGGCACGTAACAGTGTGAAACTTTCATCTCTTTTAATTTATCTGTTTCTACCAAAAATTCATTAGATGCTACACCAGTGTTTCTTCTTATGTTTTATTTTCATTTGTCGTGTAATTATCTTCCACCGAAACAAATATTTTGAGTTCCTGCGTGTGAAACTTTGTTGTGTGAAACTAGCGTCAAACACCAACTAAAAATATCAAAACAAATATCTTGAGATCCTATTGTGTGAAACTTTCATCTCTTTTAACTTATCTGTTTCTATAAAAAATTCATTAGTTGCTACATCAGTATTTCTTGATGAAAGAAATGACATATTAGTGGTCGATGCTCTCTTAACCGGAACAATAAATAATAAATTGCATCGTTACCCGTTCTTTCGCCACCCATTTTCTCGTCTCGCGTCGACTAATAAACGCTTGCCAGTCACGTGATAGCCCATTGTGTACCACGGGAGGCCTTCCACCTGAAACAGCTGATTCGACCATTCTCCGCACGACCAAGGTTACGCCTCGACGGGAAGAATACGTGGTCTTATTATGCGGTCTACCGTCAGCTCTCGATCGGATCGCGCATTCGCGGCCGCGGAATACTCGATAAGAATGCCGAGTTAGGCGCTCGGCGATCTCCAGCTCTCGGATGATTTCCCTGAACCAGTATTCCTGATCACTACCGCGTCGTTTTGCACTGTCAAATCTTAACAACGCTGCTGAACGAGAGATTCGGAAGCGATTACAACCTGCGATGAAAGGTGCAGGGTATAATGGAAATGAAATATTCGGTTTGTCTCGTATTAGAATTTCTAATTTAGAAGGCTCTTGTAATTTACTTGACCAAATAGATCTGAAACTAGTTACATTCCAGAATGTGGAATGATAAATATTGCCAAAACCGATTGAACTTTTTGGCTAACCTAACAGTAATTAAGCAAAAATAATTGGTGTATTTAGCAGATAATATGTTGTTTGGCATAAAGAATAATAAATATGATAATTGTATAAACATGAAAATAAAATAGACTTAATATTTATAATAATTGCCTTTTAGACTGTACAATGTGTTAATTATTGTCTATCACTTCAAACATTGAACTAAAGACCAATGAATAACGAATTCACGAATAATTATTTTTATTATATCTACATTACTATCTGCCTATCAAAATATTACTCTCACAGAATTTACGACCCCAGCCAAACGATGTTCGTCTCGTTCTTCCGAATTACTCCGAAGCTCAATCTTGCAATTCCGTACAAGTGTGCAATAGCATAAAATGTACACGATACTCCTCCACAATTTATCTCGCAATACGAACGGCGAACATTTACCATAATTGTCGGTATTTTCTTTATTTATTCGCCGATACGTTCCATGGAAAATCACCGAGGAAAGTGATACACGCTCGAACGAAATCGAACGCGCGAGACATACACGAAAGCAAATTACTGTTACCGCGATGTAGGTGAAGGCACTCGGGGCACGCGAGGTATCATCCCGAAGGAGAGAACGTCGCGACGCTACTATGCAGAACGGGACCCCGTGGTGTGAAATATGGACATGATGAGGTCGTCGTTATGCGTCGACCGTGCAGCTGAAATTTCAGACGCACCGAAGTGCTCAAATATCATCTCGTTTGCGAATTTTAAACGACGTCCACCGGGCGCGGACGACGCCTATGAATCTCTCAAAGTTCGTTCAAAAATCGCCCATAGTTCGACGATGAGACATTTTTCGCGGACGTATGAATTCTTGACACCCGATGACGTTTTATCGCATTCGCCGTGAACAGTGCCGGATTTACGTTTGAAGAGGCCCGGGACTAATAAAGTATTAGGGGGACCAGAAAGTAATGTCGTTTCTATGAATGTCATTGGTGCCGCGGTACTCTTTTTGGGAATTATAGTTTGCAGTGTATTATCAGCGCGTAGCATAGACGCAAATGAATACGAAGACATCATGTTTCAAGACTTACGTGTTATGATGGACAACTCGATCCCAGTAAGATTGATATTGTAGCTTACCAAAGAACGAAACTATTATTCAACATGGTACATGTTGGGTCACATTTGAAAATTAGAGTTTATGTTAGGTAGACTGGAAAGTAATGTCGTTTTTGGAATTTTAAATACTTGTTTAAATACATTCTTGTTTATCATATATCAGCTCATTGTACACCAGTTTTTATCGATCAGATATCGAAAATTTGCACACTAGATAACAAAAGGTTGTTGATAACGAAGGCGATTACATAATTGATTAAAAATAGAAACTTGTTATACATTTATTTGTTTGAATTTAATGTAAAAAATACGACATTACTTTCTGGTCCCCCTAATAGTAGACGCTTCTTTGAGTCAGTGATTGCATGTATGTAAAGATTGATCGAAGATCCCCCAACATTTCGGAGATTCAGGCAGCAGTAACCGCCGTACTAAACGGGCTTCCAAAACAGAAGCTGCAAAGGTCCTTCGAAATGTTAATTACGCGGTCTACACGCTGTATCGACGCAGAGGGAGATTATTTCGAGTAAATAAACGTGTGTGTAAGAACTTTACTCGTACTTTTTTCTTTTTATATAGCAAAAGTTCGGTTTCTTTTTAGACAGATCGTGTACACAATACATGAAGTATATGTACACATTATTTATACAGCGAAAACGTTAAATTTACTATTAGAATTGTTCATTTTTCTTCTTCCGTATAAAATTCTTCTACATTTTATGTTTGCAAAATCTGTGATCAAATCGTTAAAATCTAAAGATCGTAATAAATGATTTTCTATAAATAAAGAAGCCAGAGAGGACAATCTTTCATTTAACGTTGTAGATCAAGAACAATTGGACATTGGCCCGGAAATGCCGCTTTCCAGATCACTGTGCAAGTTGTACAGTGCAACGTTCGCGCAGGTTTAGGATAAATCGCGCATCCTTTCCAACGCTTCGCAACGTGGTGGCGCGTGCGTCAGGTTTGCGTACGCGCACCTCGGTCAATAATAATCACGCCGCCCGTAAACGATAATCGCGCATTAATTGTAAAGGAAAGGCACGCGTTTCGTATATTTATACGTGGACGTGCATCCATTGCCCCGCCACGCACCCACATAGAAAACCTATAGAGAATGACACGCGCACACGCACGTCAGGGCACCGCTCGCGCACCGGCTACTGCATTATGCATTAGTCATGATTACAAAGTAAGTGGCGTGCTCGTGGCGCGTCTATAGTAATAACGGCGTATTTGCGGTGCTTATGATTTTCCACTTGAAACGGGCATAACCCGCTTTAATGGCACGGCCTGCCCTCCCGGTCGCGCATAACTTATAGCAGATTTACAACGCGGAGGATCCTACGTCCAGCCGGCGCGGTTCGCTGACGGCGTTGATCGCGTTAACGCCGTGACACTAATCTCTCCTTCTTCCTACGTTCGCATTTCTTTTGCCCTCCCCCCTGACCCCTTCTTTTACGCGTCGGCCTTTAAAGGTCGTTTCGCTCGGTAATTATTGTCGCCTGCGATTAATACCGACCAAAATGGCGGACTTTATGTTTGGTTTGTTTTCTATTCGACCCTTCCAACCTAGCTTCTTTCTGTTTATATTCTATTCGTTTCTCTTTCAGAAATTAACTACCAGACCTACCCCGAACGATTACTGTCGACCAAAATGGCGGAATTTCTAGCTTTGATTTGTTTTCTATTCGACCCTTTCAACCTAGCTTCTTTCTGTTTATATTCTATTCGTTTCTCTTTCAGAAATTAACTACCAGACCTAACCCAGATCTACCCTGAACGATTACTGTCGACCAAAATGGCGGAATTTCTAGCATTGATTTGTTTTCTATTCGACCCTTTCAACCTAGCTTCTTTCTGTTTATATTCTATTCGTTTCTCTTTCAGAAATTAACTACCAGACCTAACCCAGATCTACCCTGGACAGTTAATGCCGACCGAAATGGCGGAATTTCTAGCTTTGATTTGTTGTTCATTCAACCCTTTCAACTTGGGTTTTTTTCTGTTTATATTCTATTTGTTTCTCTTTTAGAAATGAACTATATCGACCCTCTGCACTCTGTGTCGTCTTGTCGCAAAATGTAGGAACGGGAATAGCGTGACGTTAAATAGTCTAACTTTGGAAACGTGTCTTTTTTGGTATCGATAGACTTGATTATAAATTCTTGTAGCTTCCTTCAAGCGTCGACACCGAAAATGCAACATATATCCTTTATGTTTGTAGTGGTGTCGCTAACAACATTTGATAGACTCACGATGTCCCGTCACAGAGGACCATCCGAGTGCAAAGGGTTAAACTAGAGCTCGTTTTAGACCAAAGACTGTAGTTGGATAAGAAGAGATAGTTTTTCCCAGTGCGAATGATGCTCATTTTTGTTCACATATGTTCCCGAAAGTCACACTTGTAATTTGACCAAAGACGATCAGAAATATGTATTTACTGGAACATATATGTCACACTAGGATCGAAATGATTGTGACATTATTGCATTTGTTTCGTGAATATGATTAACAAATGCACAATTTATATAGTATACACTAATTTCATAAATCAATACAGCAACATTATTATTTAATTTTGCATGAATGGGTTCAATCTAGTAACTATTTTCTTATTCTGCACGATTTAAATGAATTAATTCCCAAATTCCTAGCAATCTGATTTCCATTCATTCAACAACAGTTTTTTATCCCACACTGAAAGAGACGAATGTTCTCTACCTCGCAGGAACGCTCGCTGACATTTCTATTAACGAATTACCTGAAACCTCGCTTCCTTTCGCATCGAATGCATTATTGGTCAATGAATGATGATATATTTAGCAATATTTAACAACTCCTCCAGTGATATTACGTTCAGTAGCGATCCATTCGGTGAATCGAGAATACGAGGAATTTGAATGCAACACGGAAAAGAGGCCCTCGCGTTCAGCAAATAATAGCTCGTCATGCGGGGGATTTATAATGACGGGCTGCACGCGGCCAAGCCACCTTTATCGTTCATTAGGTGCCGTGCTAACCCCGGATGCAGACACACGAGGAAGGTACACGCACGCGCGGTGCACGCGTGCAAACTCTTACCTGGCCATCCGACGGTTTTTCAAGCGGCCAACCTTGCCGAGGCCGGCGCAAATGGAGGAAACGACAGCTTCCGGTCTTGCGTGTTTCACCTCTAACCGCTCTCGCGAAGTGGTTCGGTTGGTTTGCTTCATCAGCGATGCGTGTTGCTAGTGCTTGTTCACCTTTTAACCAAACTTCGTGGAAGCGCTATGATCGAACCGGCTCGCTTGCTGGTTTAAAATAGTAGCTGAAGTCATTCGTGGTCCTCCAAGTATAATGTTTAGTGTATGACTATTTTTGATTTTACAGTTTCTGTCGCCTCGAGTGAGATAATAATACTCGAGTGTTAAAATGTCCTTAAAGAAAACGTGTTATTTCTTCTACCTTTCTCTATGCAGAAATATTATTAATGTAATTAGATTCAAGGAATTACATGTTGTTCATATAGAAATATTATCGAGGCACTTAATTGGATAGAAGAAATCGCGTCTTCTTCATATAAAAATATTCTTAATGTTAATAGATGGGAGAAATTAAATGCTTGCTCTATGGTAATAAATGTTTTAATTACTCGAGTATTATTACTTTCGTGTTGCAATAGGCGATTTCTCAAGCTTAACTGTTAATCAAATATATTTTACATTTCATTGAATTACTGTTTCAGTTTCTTAGGAACGACAAGATATCCAGGCATACTATGTAATAATGAAAGAAAATGAATGATATAATAATTCTTTTTTGTTAGCTCGATTTTTCATAGAAAGTTTACGACTGTATTTAATTAAACAGAAATTCTTGATACACAGTATACTCATCTGCCTACCTAGGCAAACTGTAATTAGTTTGTCCTTTCAATTATCAAGATGTTTTAGTTCCA